AGTTAGGAGGCTACCTTTGTGATGTTGATATGAAATGCTCAAATAGGAAAGTAGAGATGGAGAGAAGCAAATGGGGAAAGGAATGCTGAGGAAGTGTAGTTCGTGCGACCTGTTGATGAACGGATTGGTCAGGAGAGAGAAAGGCAAGAGAAGGAAGCCGCTCCTGAACTTTGCTTCTAGTGCTTGGGTGTTTGATGGTATCAGGAGGAATTTAGGAGATTCTGAGAGGCAGGAATTTCACATTTTGATTGCCTTAAATGTTTTTCCTCATATATTTAGAAATGAAGGTATTTGCTGAGAGCAAGAGAAATAAGGATTTGGAAGGAGCTTGAGAAAAATGGTGATGGTTTGGGACAATAGCTAGTGAAAGATAAAGGGAAAATATGCTGACTATGGCCCAGGAAAAAAGTGTGTTGTTGATTGGCTGGCTGGAATCTGGATACCAAGAATATATATCAGTATAAATCATCAAATTCTTCATCAACTTTCATTGTATATGTATAGGAAGATAGAGTAGATTGTTGGATTGATCTCAACTTGGGTTTTTGTCAGATAGGTGGGGCAGAAAGAAAGAAAGATTTTAAGAGAATTGGGAAGACTGATGAGACAGTATACCAAAGCATCAACCACGTTGTCCAGGATGTGTAAAATGTGATGAAAGCAGGAATAACAGTCCCCAGGAATTTGAAGAGTAGGTTTCACGTCGGTACAAGCATATGACAGTTAAAAGACAGGGAGATGTGGTCAGAGAGAAAGATTAGGAGCCTAAGAGTTTTATTATAAAGTGTAGCAAAGTACAGGCTTTGACCAGCAATTTCAGTGTCTACAGTGGAATGGAGGGGAAGCTCATTGGGGTTAAAGGCGCAAGGAACCATAAATTGTTTCATAAGAATTATCCATGTGGACACTCAGACTACCCATGGAAAGAGCTGACAATAAACCGGTGGACTACATGAAGGGAGATGACAGGGATGAGAAGTGGAGTAGAGTTGACTGATGTCATGAATCTCAAAGTCAAAGGGGTTCAATAGTGAGTAGAGAATGGTGGTGTGAAATTTAGACCAAGAAGGATGCTGACTCCACCTCCAGGCAGTGTTGGTAAAAGCCGAGAAGGAGACAAAAAGAGCCTTCTCCTCCACTCCTCTGACATACGACTCAAAAGCCAATTTATATTAATGAGTAAGAAAAAATCAACTATTATGCATCCTTTCTTCCTTATGTCTATACAAACTTTATGATAAGATGATCCTTTTTCTTTCCTCTTTCTTTTCTTAACCAAAGCAGTGAATTTAACCTAAGCTACAATGAGTAGCTATTCACAATGGCTATGAATAAAACCAGTCTTCCCATCATATATTCACATAGTCTAGGGAATGTTATCCAAGAAGAGGAGAAGAAAGTCAAAGAAACTAAGCCAGATAGAAAATGAACCATTGCAATCCCCTCCCTACCCAAAATATCAGACCTAACTTCTCATTGAGAATAGTTGTGGAAGCTGAATACAATAGTGATTCAGCAGATCTTTCAAGGCATAGGCAAATAATATAAAGCAGCCAGGATTTTAGAAGACAGAAACCAAGGGAGATTGGATATGCATTAAGATAGATCTCATATTTCCCAAATCTTTTGTCCTTAGGAGCATTTGTTGAATCTCCCTTAAGGGCACCACTGCAAACAGAAATCTGTGGCTCAGAGAATGTGGTTTTGGGAGACACAGGATGTGGGAGCCCCTGAATTGGACATCAAAACAGTGAGGACTTGAGGGTCCAAGATGTCAAAGAAAAGGGCATTACAGGGATGTGACCCTGCATCTGATTGGCTTCAATCCTTGATGGAGTTGCCCAATCCTGACTTTTCTGGGATTGGAAGCAAAGAAACAAGGCAGAAATGTGCTGCTTATGGTCTAGAAAGCTAGCAGAGCTGTTGGAATTTTCACAGTGCTAGAGAGACCAAGATGGGTGTCCAGGGCTGTCTTTTCAAGGAGGAGAGCTCCTTACACATGTCATAACCTCTGGATTGTGGCATGAGAAGGAGTGAGCGCTGGGAAAACAACACGCCCGAAATGCAGCCATGAATCATCCAATGGCTGATTGGATCGTGGTGGTCGCTGTCATTGCCAGACAAGAATTAAGTCCTCCCAGGAGGAAAATGGCAACAAATACAGAGCTTGTAAGATGGTTTTTACACAGAAACTGGCATTCAATCAAAAATTACCTGAGCTGTCCAGAAACAGAACCCAATGACCCAAACCAAGAGGTAGACATAAAAAAGGAACAAGATATCCAGATAGTACAGTTATCACTCAGGGACTTTGATAGTTAACTATGATGTATGTTTAAGAAAATAAATGTAATGATGAAGAATTTTACCAGGAAACTGTAATATATCACAAATGAGTCACATGGAAGTTTAAGAACTGAAAAATACAGTATCTGCCATAAAGAACTCAATGTATGTGGTTTGACCTGGAAGATAGTTTAGTAGAAAATATTTAAACTGAAGTAGAAAAAAAATGTATGTGCAGAAAATTTGTGTGTAATTGGAGTTCCAGAAGAAAGCAATAGAGAAAATGGGACTTAACCAATATTTGAAGACATTATCACCAAGAATTTTGCAATACTGACAACAGACATCAAGATAGAGATTCAAGGAATTCTACAAGCCAGTCAGGATAATACATGGAAAACCTGAGGCTGACACATTCTGATAAATCTACTGAAAAGCGGGACAAAGAAAGATCTTAACAGCAGCATAAAAGAAGAAACATTTTCAAAAGAACAAATGTAAGATTGATAGAAAGCTTCTCAATATAGCAAAAGAAGTAGAAAGACAACAAAAGGACATCTTTGAAGTGTTGAGGAAAAGGAACAAGCTCTTAGACAGAAGAGATGGTTAAAAAATAATTGACTAATCAAGAAAGGAAAAAGAAGAAAAGAGGAACTTTAATTTACCATTAATATTCTAAATAAAAGGCAAAGCTCTCTGATTGGAAGTAGATATAAATTAATTAAAATTAGTGTAAAAATAATTGGTGATGCTTACAAGAGACATACATGAGATATACATCAGAGAGTAATTGGCAGCAAAAGGCTAGAAAAAGATGTTCCTTGTAAGAACTAACCACAGGAGGAACATGTGTTATGTGTGACTTTATAACCATAAGTCAAAGTAGACGTTAATGCTAGATCTTTATAATCTGTGCACTTTGGGGTACGTTACACTTTAATAATATGTGTGCATAGGGAAGAAAGAAAAATCTCTCTTCAAATCAAACAAGTAAATAAAACAACCAAACATAAATAAACAGTCTTTCCTACAAAGAAAAGTCTTTAAAAAGAAATACCTCTTAAGTGACTGCTTGTCACCCACTGAAATATTTTCTTCTTTTTCAATTTGTGTGTGACATGGCACAAGTTACTTCACTTGTAATGACTGTTGTCATCTTCCTTTGAAGAATCAGGTGTACTGTAAGCCTGCGGTGAGAATGTTGGGTTGATAGACAGATTATATGATTGATGGGGCAAATCATGTGTTCATATTCCCAAAACTACTTGGCTGAAAGCAAAGCTTCCTATTTGATTGCAGACATTTGTTTTGGTTGAATTGATTTTTTTTCCTCACACTTTTTCTATTTCAACGTGCTTTTCTGTCAGCATGTTGAGTTCAGTCAATGGATTTAGTGTTTCTTTTCACTGGCTGACAGCAGCTGCTATGTGACTGTTTTGTTAATACATAATGAATGCTGCATTGAAACTTCCACTCAGTGTGACCTGGACATTAATATGCAAAGGGAATGTTCAATAAATTTGCTGAATCTGTTTCAGCTATGCATGCTGTTCTTCTTGTGAATTTTCTCTTAATGTATGGTTACCTTTGGTTTCTGTCTCTCTCTCTCTCTCTCCATATATATGTAGATATATAGATATAGATATATGCTACAACTTTATTTTTTAGAGCAGTTTTAGGTTCACAGCAAATGGAGAAGATGGTACAGAGATTTCACAAACACCTGCTCCCCACACACATGCACAACCCCCAACATTATCAATGCTCCCCACCAGATGGTCCATTTGTTACAACGGACAAACCTACGTGGATACGTCATCATCATCCAGAGTCCACAGTTTTCATTAGGGTTCACTCTTGGTCTCATACATTCTATGGGTTTGGCCAAATGTATAATGACATGTATCGATCATTATAGTATCATGCAGAATATTTTCACTGCCCTAAAAATCCTCTGTGCTCTGCCTGTTCACCCCCCTAACCCACACAATCCCTAGCAAACACTGAATTTTTTACTATCTCCTTGGTTTTCCTTTTCCAGAATGTCATAGAGTTGGAATCACACAGTATGTAGGCTTTTCAGATTGGCTTCCTTCACTTAGTCATATGCATTTCAGTTTCCTCCATGTCTTTTCACGTCTTGATAGCTCATTTCTTTCTAGTGTTGAATAAACTTCCATCCTGTGATATATTTTTAGAAGACATTTTGTGGTAAAGGGTACATGATAGAGCCAGACTTGACAATCCAAGCATTTCGTGAAGGAGCCAGAATGTTCATCAGCTTTGAGATGCTTTCATGTTGATAATGTGGTGTTATATAACCGCACAGCAATAAGGTGTATCTCTCTATCACATAAGATGACCAACTGTTCCTGTTTTTCCAGACCTGGCCCAATTTTAGTGCTGAAAGTCCTGCACCCAGAGAAGCCCTTCTATTCCACACAAACGGGATGGTTGGTCATCCTCAGTCGATTTTTAAAATAAAAAATACATGTTTGAAGTTACAGAATAGAATAATTACTGAAAAACACCAGTGGTATCGAGGTTTAAATACAAATATAAATTTCAAGTAGCTATTGATTCTCTGAAGGAAAATCTTGCTATATATATATGTCTATGGCTTGTTTGCTTAAGGATCAAGACCCTCCATTTAAGGTAAAAGTAGAGATGTTTGATGTCTTCAATAGTGGATTTAACTTTTATCTTCTGTGCAGACTCACTGGATCCAGTGTTCCTGACCTTATCGTGAGTATGAGCAACCAGATGTGGCTGCATCTACAGTCTGACGACAGCATCGCCTCGCCTGGATTTAAAGCTGTTTACCAAGGTATGGCTAGAACATACTTAGAAACATTTAAAACTAGCATTCCTACAGACAGCAAGGACCATTCTCTGTGTGTTAGCTATAAATAAAATCTGCAAGTCAGAACAATGTTTAAAAATAGGGACTAATTATTTGCATCCTCCTTAATTAAAGTCCTACTTACAGTTCTTTTTTGCAAAGGAAAGTTTTTAACTTTTTGAAAGCTTGGCTTGCCATGCTGTCTGCCATTATTGTGTCAACATAAAGAATGAGATTCTGTGTAAAATATAAGCTATGAAATGTGTGCGTCCGTGTGGATCTTGGCATTTTATCTCTTCCTGAGAGGGAGTCCTTATGCTTATAACTAAAGGAAACATTTTGAACAAAGGATCGATTTGAGTGGCATCAATTCAACCAGGCTTGTTATATACGTCCTCATGTACAAATGTATAGGTTTTTTAAATGGAAGACAGGGAAATCTACACAAAGATGGAGGAAAATACTGCTAAGTACTACACAGGGAGAAAAACAACCTTGATGTGAGAGTTATGAGTTATAATCTCTCTGGAGAAAGAGAATGCTCCTTCAGAGAGATTGGCTTCATCTCTGACTCGCTGAGCCATTATCTTGGCGAATGCTGGTCTGCTGTAGTGCAGCCAGCCACATGTTTTTGTGAACTGGGGCCTCAGGCTCAGTGTGGTGCATCTTTAAAAACATTCTCACTGTGTTATTTCGTCTGGGAGGATCTCATAGTAAACAGATATTTTAACTTCAGCATGTTGATTGGTAATTTTTTAAACTTTTTTAATTATGGAAAATTTCAAAATGTAGACAGAAGTAGAAAGAATAATATGATCAACCTGAGATGACCTGTGTTTGTAAACTTTTGCAAGCCATCCAAATATTTTGTTGTTGACTCAAATTTTGGCTTGAGTCATGGGCTACTGCTGCCTGATCCATATGCTCTTCTTTCTGTCAGCCTCAGCCCATCCTGCCTTCCCTCAAGAATTTTGCAGCATCTTTTGGGAAATCAATGACATTTCCTTCTATTAGACACTCTCAGATAATTCCAGGCTCCTACGCAAATCTTGTTCCGTGATTACCTCTTGAAAAATAGACTTTTCTCTTCCCATTCCCACCAAAATATAAAAAGGAAAAAGAACCCTTTCCCACTGCCACCCCCAAATCAACAAGCCGTCGTCCTCTTCTCATTTCGAGTCTTCAGAGGTTTAGTTCCCAGAAGCCCTGACCTGCACACTTCCGTTCTGCAATGGACAGGCAGCAGCCAGCTGGGCCTCACTTCCATCTCTCAGAGCACAACCTAATCCTGGCGTTGATCTCTCTTGGTTTCTAGAGGTGGCGAAGAACTCAGAGTGAAGTGAGGTAGAAGGGGAATCTTTAACTGGAATGTAAAGAATGAAATGATCTTCATAATACCCCAACCTCAGGGCCCCTAGAGTGGCTGCAGGGTGGCATATCTGTATAACAGGCAAAAAAAATGTCCACGCAAACACACACAAACCACTTTACTTTGGATACGTGCTTTGGTGTTCTCTATGTCAGTAATTAAATAGTTTTGATTTGAGAAATAAACATTAAAAAGGCTTGTGAGTGTGTTAACGTCTTCATTGGGGGTTATGCAAAAGTAACAACGTGATGGATGCTTGTAGTGTCAGTTCAGATCTTTCATACATTTGGCGAAGAGAAAGAAATTTTTCTCTTGTGCCCAAAGATTAAATATGGGTTCCAGATACAATAAAATGATCTTCCTAATATTAAAAATGTCTTGTAAATTATTATATAAAACTACTTACTTATAAAACTTTAAAATATATATTTAAGCTGTCATTTACATATACTGGCATACTTTTAATAAGCCTTAACTAATTTAAAGTCATTTTCAACAAAATTGAAAAGAACCTTGTTATGGTCTTGGATTCAAGTTATAGTCGTAAGAAGTCTTTTCAGGACCAATCCTATCCTCCCTCACAAATGCCTCTGAACTGAGACTTACTTTTCAAAATAACTGAGAAATTACATTTTTAAACCCATTCAAGTATTTTTACTAACACAAAAAAGATCCATTATTGAAAAGAAACTGCTATTTCCAAACTATAATCTAGGAAAATATACAGTGGGAATTCAGAATAAAACATAAATGTATGTTCTGCATAACTAAGTTTTCAAAATTTTTGATCCTTTTCATAAGTAAAGTTTCCAAATTCTAAGGAACTAATAAATTGTGAAGTACTGTAATACAATAAAAATAGTGATTATTCTATTTGGATTTTTTTACTGTGGGGAAATTGTTAAAAGAAAGAAAGATGTGGGGCCAGCCTGGTGGCATAGTGGTTAAGTTCATATGCTCCGCTTCGGTGGCCTGGGGTTCACAGGTTCAGACCCCAAGCGTGGACCTACACACTGTTTATCAAGGCACACGCTGTGGCAGGCATCCCACATAAAAAATGGAGGAAGATTGGTACAGATGCTAGCTCAGAGACAATCTTCCTCAGCCAAAAAAAAAAGGAAGAAGAAGAAGGAAGAAAGAAAGGTGGAATTAATTTGTAAGTTTTTGTCAGAGAATATTATGAAATTGACCCAGGCAAAAAAATTCCTGGGTATGCTTTCAAAGTCTAGCACACTCTTCCTGGTTAACTAATTCTTTAGTGGTCCCAGCCTCCCATTGTCCTTAGGCTGTTTTACAACTCTGAAAGTTGTAGAAAACTGATAGCCATGCAAATGTTCCTGACCACTGAGATGCAAATGAACTCTTTTTTTTTTTTAAGGATTTTTTTTTCTTTTAAGATTGGCACTTGAGCTAACATCTGTTGCCAATCTTCTTTTTCTTTTTTTTTTTCCTCTTCTTCTCCCCAAAGCCCCCATTACACAGTTGTATATTCTAGTTGTAGGTCCTAGTTGTATATTCCAGTTGTAGGTTCAGCATGGCTTGGTGAGCAATGCTAGGTCGGCACCCAGGATCTGAACTGGCGAAACCCAGGGCTGCCAAAGTTGAGTGCACAAACTTAACCACTCAGCCATGGGACCAGCCCTGCAAGTGGATTTTGTGTGGAGGAGATGCAATTGATTATTGCCCCGTGGATGTTGACGAATTTTGCGTCTATTAGCAAATTCATTTCAGGGTCGCTAACTGTCTATATGTGCATGTTCTTTGGATTCTCCTTTGAAAGAGTTTAAAATATCCTTCCTTAATTACTCAGTTCATTAAAATCTTTCACAGGACAGATACGTGCCCGTATAGGTGAAAATGAGAAATATTAATCTAGAGAGTCGGGATTTTATTTTCTTCAATTTTACTTTGTCGTTTTGGATAAAGAGGCAGTATGCTCTTGTTTTCCAAGGGTGCAGAGTATTTGGGAGCTGAAAAAATGTTACAAGAAGTTATTGCATGTCAAGCCAACGAGGCAGATAATTAAAAACCATCCACCAAGTTCAAAACAACAAACATGGTGGGTGATGGTGTCATGAGTTCAAGAGTGAACACATCCTGGCATGGCTACACTTACGTGTTGTGAGTTGAAGTAGTCACAGTGTTAAAAAGTCCTGTGGTAAGGAGAAGGTCCAACCACAAATAGCCTTATCTATAAAGTGTGACAGATTCCTCCTTGCTAGAAACATGGAGTGGGGTGGAGCCTTAATGAATCTTCTTACTGAGAAATGCTACAAAAAAAAAATGATATTTACATTTCATTCAAAGGTTAGGACTAGAATGCACAGATAATTGCTGAATACTTCCTGACATTTGGATTTTTAGAGTTGACCTTTAATTGAACTTCTGCATGACTGTGCAGTTATTTAAGAAAGCTGGGTGGAGGTGTAATCCTTTCCACATGACCTACCCTTGCTACCGCCTTTGGTAGAATCTAAGAGCATCAGTGAAATACCAAACACTTCCCAACGGGGCAAATGGCATCAAATTAACTTCAGCAGTATGAAGATACACATCAAAAGGTTTATAGTATGAAGACTGGAGAAACTGGCATCATTCCCAAATTGTGGATCTTTGACTATAAAGGGATATAAGTATTCTCTATTAAAATATAAATATTCTTCCAAGTGTCGTATTTCAGTTTGAATAACCATACAGCATTAATTATAATTACATTTAACTCTAATTAGGACTCTGTTAACAGTCTCAATAGTCTATTAATAGCTACAACTTGAGATGTCATGGAAAGGTGGATGGCCATGAATCCATGAGAGACTGTCAACTCAAGGCCACATGTTATCTTTTGACAAAACAACATTCCAAAGTTAAAAAGATAATTAAAACAGAAAACTAATATAACATTTGAGGATTTAAAAAATTGAGAGAATAGAATATATCAAAAGAAGACGTTCTAGAAATTGGTCTTTCCAGAGTGATATATTAAGCTAGCAATTGGAGATAAAATAAAAATCATTTGTAAAGGAGATTGTCAAATACATAAATAATTATGTTATTTGATTTAAAACATAGTTGTTCATGAATTATCTTATCAGAAAATATGTACAGCTGATATTTACATATCAATTAACTTTCTAGGTTTTGATAGTGTGTGATTTTAACGAACATAGTATAGTGGTTAAGAACAGGCTCTTGAGCCAGACTACCCTGGGTTCTAGCTCTGCCACTGATTGGCTACATAACTTAGGGCAAGTTATTTAAACTCGTTGCTTGTCAGATTCCTCATTTAAAAAAAGGGAGAGGATGAGGTTGGCCCAGTGGTATAGTGGTTAAGTTCATGCACTGCTTTGGTGGCCCAGGGTTCTTGCGTTCGCATCCAGGGCACAGACCTACACACCACTCATCACGCCATGCTGTGGTGGCATCCCACATACAAAGTAGTGGAAGATTGGCACAGATGTCAGCTCAGGGCCAATCTTCCTCACCAAAAGAAAAACAAAAAAGGGAGGGAATGATAATCACATCTGCTTCATAAGTCTGTTGTGAAAATCAATTGACTTAAAACATGGACAGCCCATGGCAGATAAGAGTGAGAAACATTAGCTATTATTTACATATG